CAGTTGTTACAGGAGTTTTTCATAAAGACGCAGTGATTTTCCCTCTGGAGTTTAAATATCTCTACAACAATTCTGACATTCAGATAAAACGAGGGAAATGGATGTTTTCTCCTAATCTTCCACTTTCACCAGACACTGCAGACGAATGGAAGTGTCAGTCATGTCGGACTTCAGTCCAGGCGTGTAATCAGTGATGTCATCAGGATTTGACAGAACAATTTCAACTTGAGTGAAGAAAAATGGTTATGATAAAGAGTGAGAGCGAGTCTAATGAATAGTCCTACGACTGAAGGACACGCCAGCACACACACACACACACACACACACACACACACACACGAACACTTTTTTGTGTTTTGCAACCATTTTACAGACATCACATTCTTTGTGTCAAGATTGTCCCCACAAGTATAGCTAGTTCCGAAAAATGTACACACATACTGATTTTTGTATTTTGTGAGGACTTCTTTTGCCTGTATCCAAACAAAAGCATTAAAAAACCAATCCTGAAATCTAATCCTGAATTTAATCCTAACCCAACCTGTACCTCAAACTATCATTTTACCGAAGTAATCAAGTACTCTAGTATTTCTCCACTCATAAATATATATACATATTATTGTTGTTGTTTTTAAGGACTTTCCACGTATCCTACATAATATAATTCTAATCTTAATGCTAATCTGACTCTAATCCTAACTCCCACCAAAATATTGAACCTTAAACTACCTTCTCACTCAGTGAGACCTAGTAAAATGTCCCTGCAACCCAAGTGTCCCCATGACAATAGACATCGTGTCCCCACAAATATATCTGTACCAGGATCACAAACACACACCCGCACACGTTCAAGTCTAAACACAAATCCTGGTGGTGGAGAGTCTTTTAGTTTTCATTAGAAAGTAGTTTGTATAGTCATCGGCGTCTGTCCTGAGTCCTGGGCGTGTGGTCTCGTCTCCGTGGCGTTTCAACCCGTCTGTCATTCTCTCGATAAACCTGAAGACCCCGTCTGTTCGATTCTCCTCACCTTTTCACCACCGACTTGATTTCCACTCACAGCGTGTGAGGAGCTGCCGATTCTGTGGTTGCTTTAATTGAATCAACGTGCGTCTGCTTTGTTTTCATCACCTCACACGATGTTCACAGCCACGGCTGCTGTGCAACTTCTCGCCTGCAATTAACAGTGTTTCTCTGAGTCACGGCCCCTGTTACCCAGCAAACCACAGGCAGAGTCGAAAAAAAGAAAGTTACGTAAACTAACATTTGGCTCAACTGTGTGTGTGTGTGTGTGTGTGAGAGTGAAGTCAATGGTTTTTAACAGAGGCTTGTAATTAAAGCACATGCTGCGATTAACTCCAGTGATTCATGCATTTCCTGAGCAGTAAAATTTACCATGATGTACCCACAGTACTGCAAACAGCATCAAGGTGTAGGACAAGAGGCCGAGGATGAAGTCACTGTGAGTGGCCTTCAAAAAGCTCTACTCAGGCGATGGCCCTGCGGAATACAAAACCTCCAGCCAGTTTGAAATCTTTCCAAATGTCTCATTTCAAAATAAGAGCCTTCAATATAAATTCTCTCGACGTACACTTCGTCACGTCGGCCAAATCCCTGACCCTTGTTATTGTTGCTACAGTACGGCCAAACACTGCCTGATTTAATGTCCAAAGTCTGACAGGCTGTCATTTTCAAGCTCCAACTTTTGCTTGCTCTATACAAGCGGTTCTCAAAGTAAGGGCCCTGCCCCCTAGCAATGCTCAGAGCTTTTATAGAGGGACATAGAAAGACACTGACGAGGGGGACAAAGGTGTATTTATTTAATTCTTATATGGGTAACATCAGGTCCGTGGGCCACATCTGTTCACTTAAGAGAGTTTGTCATCAATAAATACCAAAATGTAGAGTTAAACTTCAAAAAATAACTTTTATTGTGAAATTTGCAGTAATAATCACATAAAAAAAAACAAATTTAGAGTTTAGAGAAAGTAAAAAGATGCTAAATGCTAACTGTTGTACCAGTGAGCAATGTTGTGTTGAAGACAGCTTGAAAAAGTTAAAATAATTATTTTATTCTTAATACAGTTCACAGATGTGATTTCACCCACCCCCCCCCACCCCCCCCCGGTACTGACTGAGATGTTCTTATTTGACTGTGTCTGTACAGAGCAGGAGACAGAATCATTTTGGCCGATGACTCAAATGACGACTGGTGGAAGGTGAGTTAATAACCAGTAAATAACCAGTAAAGTGAGTCACTAAGCAGTAATGATGACAAACATGTAAAAGTTCTGTAAACAAGCTGCTGCTGCTGCTGCTGCTGCTGCTGCTGCTGCTGCTGCTGCTGACTTTGTGCAACGCAAATGTTTCAGTCACATGTTGTGATGTGTTCACTGACACCTGGACTGTACACAGCAAGTGAAAACACATCCCTTATTCAGCAGTCAGCAGGTAAAATTACTGTGTCAGTTTAATATAAATACTCAGCGACGTATCAAAAATATTCACTGTCTCCTCGGGACATGTCCAAACCGTCTGAACTTGATTCCTCCCGCTGTCACTCTGAGATATTAATTATTTATCCTGTCTATCCAGGTCACTTCTAATAACTCTGAAAAAAACACCTTCAACTCTGCCAACTTTCCCTTTGAGACATTTTTTCACCCTATTTCAAACCATGAACTACAGCTTGTATCACTTCTGTAACATCTTCTTCCTCTTCTGCTGTTATACATCACCATGACCTCTTGGCTCCACTCACCCCGTATCATCACCTACCTGTTTATACTATCAAATGTTAGAGACTCATCAAGCCACACACTTTACGGCTCACTTGTACACATTCTGCACCACCCTCATGTAGTCTTGTGCCACACCTGGTTTCCTCAGACACCATCCAGCAAGTCCCAAAAAATCTGATTAGTTATATAAATAAATACATACAGAGTGGCAGACGCCTCCCCCCCCCGTGGTGAAAAAAGCAAGTACTCCATATAGGATTGAATAATCTAGTAGAAATTCTAATGAAAATAATCTGCTTCTTGTCCTTGTTTGTTTGGTCCAGTCTTCCATGGTCCAGCTGTTGTTAATGCTTGTGTCCCTTTCTCCTAGGGTATAATTGAGGACAGGATTGGATTTTTCCCAGCAGCCTTTGCTCATCAGGTGGGGGCCAGAGATCGAGTGTTCAGATGTAACCGGACATTCATCGGCTGCAAGGAACAGGGACAGATCACGTTAAAAGAGGGACAGGTGAGGATCACTGACTTGATCTAAGGCTCGTGTTAAACCAGCGACACAATTTTCAGCCATTATGGATGATTTTAATGGCAATTTTGTCAATCATTTTAGTCAAATGTCCAATATCCGGCTGATTCTCGGGCTAAATGTGATCTAGACTTTTTTCAGATGTAGTGTCTACAGTGACTACTTTAGTTGCATTATGTCTTTCATTCGAGTCTTTTTGTTTATCCAAGTATTTATATTTTTACTGCAGGGACATTTTTAACATTGATTTGATCTTTTTTTTTATTATTAAAAGCCCCCCATCATGTTACCTTAAAGGCAGTTTTAGATTTTTCTTTTCTTTTCTTTTGGATTCTCTCTCCATGAAGCTGCTGCTGTTGTTGTTGTTGTTGTTGTTGTTTTTAATGATATATTTCTCTGCTTCCTAAAATGTTTCATCATCGTGCTAAATTATTCCCCATCATTATGGGTCGTGTGTGTCAGTGGGCAGCAGAACGCTGCGTGGGGAAATAAACAGGTTGTGATTATTTGTTCCACGTTAATGGAGACTTTTGAGTTTTTCTTTTTTGTGGTGCTGTCTGACCAAGTGTCTGTTTGAGCCTTTAAAAAGTCACCAAATACAGTTCCACGTTCTCCTATAACACTTAAACACATCAGAGTCGACTTCAGCTGCCCCAGTGTTTTCTTTTTTCTCAAAAGTTCATCTGGAGTTTTCTGGCACAGGATCTTTAGCAGCGGTCGGTGGTGAAGAAGCTTCTTCATGTAATGGCTTTAGATAGATCATGTTCCTTTTTCCCACAATACTTTTCAGAGCATTTTTTGGGACTCTGAGTCCCAACTTCCTTCCAAGCTTCAGAAGCCCCCACTGGAGATTAAACCACGGAGCTCTTGATGAGCCTGTGACCCGATGCCTCAGGTTTCCGTTCACTCAAACCCAGGGGGAGGATATTTAGTACATGGAACTGACTTGGATGAAAATAGCCTCTCCCATCAGTTATGTTATTCAGGGAATAAAAATCAATTAGTTTTTTACTCGTACTTTATGTTTAACCTAAAAGAAAAATTTACAGATATTGAACTGCTGTTAATACCAGTAAAAGAAAACTTTAACTTTACCTGTATAGTGTCTGAAATTCAGCTCCAAACCATCACAGAGCCTGTACATGCTTTAATGAAGGACCTGTAACTTTATATTTTAGTATTTAGTCTATGTAAGGCAGGTGTGGTAACCACTACACTATTGAACCAGGACAGACCCTTATAGCAATAACAATCTCCGGATGAACCAAAGGAAATTTCTTAAGACAGATATCGGTCTTCAACAGGTGGTCTTCAACAGGTGGTCTGCAGGTGTACTGCAGGGCTTTTTCCCTTCTTTTTAAATGTATGTAATAAAAATTGACCTGTGTTTTTTGTTTTGCTAGCCAAATTACACAGTATTTGTATATATATGGTACTAGGCCCAGATTGATATATCATGATATTTCATATATTGATTATAGGAAGTGTCCCTGCTCATCGGAAAACCAACAGAAGCAGGGCTAGCTTCATGCGCAACACTGTATGGCATGTGAAATGTGCTGACAGTTAGTTCTGTTGTCGGCTTCTTTGACGACACATGAGTGACTTTCCCTTCCTGCTTCCAGATCTGCGTGAGCAGCGAGAGCGAGCGCAGCGGCTTCATCAGAGTAGCCAGTGGAAAGAAGAGAGGCTTCGTTCCCTGTGACGTCCTGGACATCATCTGAGAGAAGAGACTCAGGAAATGAACAAGGAGACGAGGTGGAAGACAGTGGACAGCACGGAGGTGTGTGTGTGAGTGTGTGAGAGAGAGGGGGAGGAATGGTGGGGGGTGGGGGGGTCTTCAATCTCCAGTGAGAGATGCAGTGAGTGTTCATGTGATGCTGGTTGTGTTTACTGATGGAGTTGTTTCTTTCTACTTTCTCTTACTCAGTCAACCAGACACACAGAGACTGGACTTGATTGGATTTGAAGAACCATCTTGTTTGGTTCCTAGCTTTTCATTACCGGAAATTAAAAAAAAAAAAAAAAATAATATTGAAAATCCATGATCAGAATTCACTTAAATTTATCTTAAATTTTTGTCATCTTTTTGGTCACATTGAAGGAGATACAGAGAATAATGGGAGCAGGAACATGTACTAGGAAGGATCCTACACAGGTTTCTTGTCAGTGTGTTACTACTTTAAATGCTACCACTCTCTTGTCATGTGCATTTCTGGCAAGGTTATGTATCTACATAGATATAGTATATCTCTAGGTTGTTCTGCACTAAAACATGGCTGTGGTGAATGTCCAAGAATGCCATTTTGTACATAATGTACGTACGACATTAAAATTCTGCCTTTATCTATACCTGAACCCACGTGGTGGTTATTTTTGTGTTTTCTAATTGTGTCCATTTTAATTAGCATTTTTAGTCCATAACCATGCAAAGTTATCTTGTTGTTTTTAGCTAATCTTTAACCTAACGACTTATTATGTTTTCTCTTTAGTGTTTTAGCTTAATCTTTAATTAGTTTTACGAAAATCAATTGTTTTACTTATTTATAATCCACTTTCTTTTTGTTGCTGTAATTCTTTCTACCTGTTAGCTGTTTTTGGCTAACTTCAGGTGGATTGTCTAATTTGACATTGTTTTCTGTTTTTTAAGTTTACTAGTGGAACTAGAGGTTGGTTTATTTTTAAAATTTATTTTAATTAATTTTAGCTAGAATTTTTCTTTTATTCTTTTATTATTATATTATTTTTTTAAGTGTATTTATTTGTTTTTAATTTTTTTATCCTTCTGGCAAACTGTCTGATTGTTAATTTGTGGCTAACCGATAGCAACTTATGCTAATAGCAATGACTTATATGACTTATACAAAGGGTCCCTAAAACTTCTGCAGTGGAGTAAAAGTACAGGATGATGAAATTTTGAGGACAATACAAAATAAGGTAGATTGAATTTTGCACAGAGGAATAATAAACGTATTAAAAAAAACACAAACACACACGCAGACACTCAGACACACACAAACACACGCACACACACAAACACACACTCAGACACAGACACACACACACACACAGACACAGACTCTGACAGACACAATGAAGATTTGTTCAGGATCTT